CTCCCCGCTGACTCTCTCTGCCTGGGCCTTAGTCTAGTTGGGGAGACTCAGTGTTGCGAGAGACAGGCCAGCGCTCCGCAGGGCACCGTCTGCTTCTGGACACATGTGGGCCTGGGAGAAGCCTCGTGTTTGGCCCCAGAAGGGAGCCTGGTGGTGGGTGGAACTGCTGACCTCCCCTCATGGTGGGCCCCCACATCCTGTACCTGTCGGTCTGCAGGTGGGTGCCATGACCCCCAGGGGCCTGCACGCAGCATATTGGGTGTTGGACCTGCGTTACAGGGAGCGGTGGCTCCCGGGGCCCCTGCTCTAAGTCGTCTGCCCCCCTCGGCTAAGCACGCCTCCTGAGGGGCCTGGACGGCAGTTAGCTTCTGATGAGACGTAGCTAGAAATAGGAGAGCGCCCCTACTCCTCAGGGCCCCGGGGAGCTTCGAGCTCCCTTCCTTCCCCTCTGCCCCGACCTCTGGACATAGCATGGGGAAGAGCAGAGCTGAGGTCACGCCATCTGCCTCCATAGGTACGCGCAGGCAAGGCTGGTGGTCGGCTCTGATCAGCAGGGCCTGGGGCGGCACGACACTAGACCAGGGCTGGAGGAGGAGATGACTCAGATGAGACGTGCCATGGGTGCCACCCAGAACGAGAGCTGGTGCACAGCACAGAGCCCCAGGACCCTTGGCTCGACCCTAAAGTAGGGCCAGGCTTTACCAGACATGTGCTCCATTCAGCTGGTCTGTGGACATGGACCTGCCCACCCAGGACCTGCATGTGGTCAGAACTGGGGTTTCAGTCCAGCCTGGCTTTTCTGTCCGTCACCTGGTGGCAGGAGTCCAGCCCAACCCCTAGGCAACTTCCTGCCTCCCACATTCAGTGCCCCTTCCGTCCTGGAGTACTTGTCCTGCTCCCCCGTCCTGTCTGCCAAGGACCTGGCTTCACCCGAGCTGGGAACAAGTGGCTGCTACCTCCTTAGCGTCACAGCACTGTCCGGAGGCAGAGGTAGCGGCGTCTCCGAGCTTCTCCTCCACCGAGGACACTTGGCATCTCTCACCGGCCAGCCCCAGCCCCACGACCTCAGAGCAGGCCCTGTGGTGGAACGCTGGGCCCCAGGGGCTGGTGGTTTGGCCCACACTGTGAGGGAAATGTCCCATGTGTGAGGGAAATGGAGGTCTCTTAGCGAGGAGGTGGATGTGCTGGGTAGGGGCTGGCCAGGTGCAGGTAGACCCCGTCCAAGCCTTAAAGGGAAGCAGCCCCTGCCTTCTTAAGCTCCCCCTGCCTCCCACCTGTGTGTATCCACGAATGGCCACTGTCCCCACATGTCTGCAATTCTCTCTGCCCCAAATGGACTTTCTCGGGGATGTAAGAGATGGTTGAAGTGAGACGCACTGGGGTCCTCGGGGGGCTCAGAGTTGGGGAGGAGCTTGGAGGACAGAGCGGAGCTGCTTCCGTCAGGATTCAAGCTGAACTGTGAGCCTCAGGGAGTCCATGCGTTTCTGGGAGTGGGGGCCGGGCCCGTGCCTCCCTCCCTGCCGTGTGGCCCTGAGCTCCGTGTGACAGCCCAGGTGCTGAAAAGCTGGACTCCGGAGGATCTCCAGCTGCTCTCCGGAGTCCAGGCAGGGCAGGAGGCCTGGCTGCCCCCAGGGTGGGGCCGGTGGGATGTGGTCTGGTGGGAGCCAGCGCCCGAAGCCCGGCCTCCTTTCTGTGCGCAGGACAGCGTCAGAGGCTCCCAAGGGCCACGGGTCACTGGGCACGGATGGGCCTCCTGACCCCCGGCTGGGCCCTGGGGGCTCTTACACTCTCGGCCCTGGCGTGCCTCTCCTCCCTGGAATTTCCTCCTCGACAAGCCTGGCCTTTGAGGGGCCCATGGCAAACCCCTGCCCACACTTCCACTGGCTCCCCAGAAAGACACCCTGTACCCCCACCCATTCACCGAGAGCCCCTCTTCTCGACCCTTCACTCTGGGCGATCAGGTACACATGCAGGGCTGACAGGGACCGGGTGGTGGGCTGGGCATGGAGAGGGTGGGACCCCTGTGGGGACCTCCCAGGGCACACCCAGCAGAGGGGCTGGGGTCTGTCTGCAGAGGCTTCCGGGGGGTACGGGCAGACCCTGTCCACAGCCCGAGCCCCCTTTCAGGCCCAGCTCAGGCCAACAGGTAAAACGTGGGGTCACAGGGGAGAAAGAAAGAAGGACCCAGGAGAGAAAGGCCGATCCAGGGCAGAGTGGAGCTGGGAGGGGTCGGAGGGACAGCCACAGCCTGCTCGCTGCCCCCATCCCCCAGGCGCCCCCCCCCCCCCCCCGGCGGGGCAGCTAGGCCATCCGTGAATGCTGGGTATTCACGGATAAGGGGGATGGCAGGGTGCTGGCCGGGACCCTAACACCCATGGGACGTCGCTACCCTGTCTCAGTTCCCGGAGGGCCCCTGGACGGGGTGGGGGGGTGCTGGGAAGTGAGGGGCAGATGCTGTCAGCTCACAGGGACTTCCGGGAATGCTGGCCCCCACCCCCGGCTCCGGCTACGCATTCGGTTTCTTTCTGTCTTGCCACAGGCCTGGGGGTGGAGAGCGTTGGCGGCTCTGCTCGCACGCGAGGCCCTGGCCGGGGTCCAGGTGGCTGTCCCTGCAGTGCTGGCGCTGACGGCCCCATCGCGTGACAAGAGCCCAGAGGAGGCCCCGCCGGGCGTGCCCCGCCGGGATGTGGCTGCAGAGGAGGGGAAGTGGGGGTGCCCAGATGGGGGGGACACGCCATGCTGGGGGCTGGCGTCCTTATGTAGGACATGGTGGGGAGGGGAGCAGTTAGAGGGGGCCCCCTAGGTGGGGGCACATATGCCGGAGGCCTGGTGTCCTTGACCAGGGACATGGTGGGGAGGTGAGAGAACTGGGGGTTTGCCCCACACTGTGCCTCTAGTGGGCATGGGATGGGGCTAGCCCAGTGAGTGTGTTTGGGGGTGAGCATCCCACAGCATCCCCGTCATTGTGCCGGGGCTCCCCCCACCCCAGCCTCACAGCTGTGGGAATCCTCGGTCCCCAAACAGGGTCTGCAGGGGCAAAGAGTCAGCAGGCAAGGGTTAGCCCAACCCCCACCTCTGGTTCCTTAATCTGAGGGCCATTTGGGGAAAGCTGGGGGCAGGGAGCTGCTTCGAGCTGAGGTGAGGTGGGAAGGACCCCTGCAATGGAGTTTGCTTTGCGGGAGGCTTGGCAGCCTGGGTGTGTGTGGGGGGTCCAGGGGGCCCTGAGGTGGGGGTCCTGTCCCTGTTCCACCTTCACTAAGGCCCAGATCCACCCCAGGTGCTGTGCGGGCTCTGCCCTGGCCGGGAGCTGTGGCCTCCCTGGTGTGGCGGCAGGACAGGACCCTCTGGGTGGTCTGGGAAGCCGGGCCTGGCTCCAGTGATGTCATCTAGGGGCTGTGGAGGGGTCGGAAGGGATGGGACCGTCCCTCCATTCTCCCTCCATTGGCTTTCTGGGCCTTGGAGTCCATGAGGTCATGTACACGGCGCTGTGGGCGGATCCGTGTGGGTTCGCTGTCCGCAGCACAAAGGAGTAGGTCTAGGGCCGTCCCTGGACCTCACAGCTCAGTGCGTCGCTGCCTTGGAGAGAAGGGTGTGGGGGGCTTGCTGGCTGCCAAGGGTTTCCGTTGCAGGGAGAGGCCTGGGCTGCCTGTGCACCCGCCATCTCTGCACACTTGCCCGGGGAGCCCAGGTGCGACCTTTCACTTCACCAAGATACCCCACTTTCCGGCCATGGAAATGGGTTCATTTCTGGGAATGTTTAATGCAGGGAACAAAGCTCTAGTGCTTATCAGCTGTGGGAAGGGGAGGGAGTCGATGGCCTGCTGGCCTCAGAGAGGGCGGGACAGGGAGGCTGGAGACCAGAGCCACGATGTGGCCGCCGCCTGTGGGGCTGTCCTGAGGGCCGCCTCTCTGCATCTGCCCCTTTGCCCCTTTGGACACGGGTGGACATCACGCTTGCACCTGGCCACACAGAGCTGCGGGGCCGGCCGTGCGGCTGGTGTGGGCCAAGGGCGGGGGGTCTCCGGCAGCTGCAGTCTGGTCCTACTGAGCCGAGGGGATTAGATGGGTCTTCTCACCTGGGCGTGAGAGGCACGCATCGGGGGCCTGCAGTCCCAGAGCTCTGGGGACCTTGTGTGCGGCCCTTTGACCCCAAGTTGCACCGACGTCCCCTGCAGCTCTGGTGTGGAAAGCACATGAGGGGCAGCTGGGAGGCACTCCCGGCCCTGCCATGCCCTCCACGGAGGCTCCAGGCCCCTTTCCCTACCCCAGGGGAGCCTCCGTAATTGCTCAGGCCCAGGGGGACCCCACAACAGGGGCTGGTGAGCTGGGATATCGCCGACATCTGTCTGTGTGACCTGCATGTCTGTATGTCTGAGCTCTTCACCCCATGGTGGAGATAAGGCTGCACTGTGGGTGGGAGTCGGGGGACCCGGAAACTGTCAACCTGGGGGCTCCTGAGTCGCGCCAGGCCAGCCTTCATGGGGCTTCCTGTCCCAGCTGGGAAGCCCATGCCAGGTGGGCTGCTCTACACCAGGTGGGGGGTGGGAGGGAGGGGCTGGGGGAGCTGGAGGTGTGATGAGGTCTTGCAGGACCTTCAAGGGTGGTCCAAGTCATGTAGACCAGCAGTGCTGAGTTAGGGCACCTGCTGGAGGTTGGGTCTCCAGAGAGGGGCTTTGAGGACCCCGGGGACAGGTTGGGGGGTCCCTAAGCAGGACAGGACTCTGAACAGTTTCTGGGGAGCCGAATGGGGGTGGGGTCCCCGGGGTCAGCCCCAGCCCTGAAAGCCTGATCTCCTGATTATGACGCTGGTGCTCCCCTCAGCTGCCCCCAACAGGAGGACAGGCTGCCCCAGGGCGACCTGCCGAGGACAGCCCGGGTCAGCTGAGGAGTGTGGCTTTGCTTGCAGAAGGTGGTAGCCGGGAGCTGGGGAAACACAAGGAGGTCAGCAGGTAGGGGCGCAGGAAGGGTGCTGACGGCCTCACTTGGTTCTTCTCCGGCAGCTGTCCAGAAGGGCCCGCGGCAGCCGGCGGCCAGTGTCCCTGCACCCGAAGACCGCAGTCCAAGTGCGAGGTCCGCCGTGCTGGAGGGAAGGCTGCTGCTGGAGGTGAGCCCCCTTGCCATGCGAGCGCACGCCTGGCCGTCCATGCCACCCCCTGCCCTGGCAGGATGGACCGCTGACAATGCCGTAGAAGTGTTTCTGGACGGAGCTCCAGGACGGCCCTGGGAGCCATGGAGGTCAGGCACAGGTGCCCGGGTGGGGTCCGGCAGCTCAGGACAGAGAAAACAGGGGTGACCTTGGTCCATGCGTCTCTAGCCTGAAAATCGTTTCCCGCACCAGGTTCTCTTGTCACTTGTCAGTGGAAGAACCTGTTACCAGCTAAGCTGAATCACTGACAGCGGAGGGCACGCCGAGCCCCCAGGACCCGGCAGGGGTGCCTGGCTGGTCCATGTATCGGTGTCACCCCAGGACATCAGTGGCCCAGGGCGGCCTTTTCCCCGAGATGGGGCCTCTGACTGCTGGTGAAGGGCTATGCCCTTCCCGACCCTGTCACGAGGCCTGCCTCGTGTGGGGCTGGGGAGCACCAGGGCTCGGTTTCTCCGGTGAGCTGGGGCTGCGAGGCAGAGCTCTCTGGGTTGGTTCAGGTCACTGCGCGGAGCGGGGCTCACGGCTCAGGTCACTGTGCGGAGCGGGGCTCACGGCTCAGGTCAGTGTGCATGGAGCGGGGCCCACAGCTCAAGTCACTGCATGGAGCGGGGCCCACGGCTCAGGTCACTGCGCGGAGCGGGGCCCACAGCTCAGATCACTGTGCACAGAGCGGGGCCCACGGCTCAGGTCACTGCGCGGAGCGGAGCTCACTGCCGGCACCTACAGCCTGGAGCCCAGGGCCTGGGTTCGCCCCATCTCAGGAGGGCCTGGAGGACACAGGCAGCCCATAACCAGCTGCTCAGGTGCCCCCGAGCCCACGCCTCCCTGGCGGTCCCTAAGGGGCTGGGCCCCATGTCCCCTGTGTGTCTCTCAGGACCCCGGCGCCCAGTCCTTGCCTCCAGCCCTGTGTGGCGGGTGGTTCTGTTTCTCCTGGTGAGGGTCCTTGGTGGCACGTGCCTGCCCATCTGTCAGGCCGACGCACCAAGGGGCAGAAATGGTGGCTCATTGGCGCCTTTCACACTGATGACCTTGAGTCTGCTTGGAGCCGATCAGGATCTTTCCTGGGTGCTGGCCGCGGCCTCGCTTGGGTCCTGCCTGACCCCCAGCTGTCCCGTGGCAGCCAGGGTGACCTGTGGGTCCTGTGGGGGAGCCCTGGCTCCTCGCCCTCCAGCCTGTGGCCGGGCTGCCGTCCTGGCACCTTCACCACGGGGACGATCTCAGTGGTTTGCTGTTCACCGTGTCCTCTGCACATGATGCCGGCGCCCCTCATGGACAGCAGGGAACCAGGACTGTCCCCAGGCTCGCCCTCCTGCATCTTGCTCACGTCCTTCCATCCACCTCCCACCTCGATACCGTCCCTGACCACGTCAGCAGCCTCCCGCGGTCTGTGCATGAGCTCCTGGGTACTTCGGTGCTTGCCGCGGGGGCTGTGGTGGCGGGCATGTACCCCTCAGGCCCCTCAGCCTCAGATGACCTCACTTGGCCTCACCTGAAGGGAGGGCACAGTGCAGGGCACGACTATCTGCCACTGACAGATGGACAGATGGAAAACGTCTGTGCTGACCGGAGGGGAGCCAGAGAGGCTTGTGCCTAGAATCTGGGGCTTCCCACCTGCCCACTGTAACCCATGACTCCCCATGGTCCCCACAGGAACACCCATGGTCCCCTAGGATTTTCCACAGCCTCCCACAGTCCCCACAGGGCCCCCCCTTACCCCTATGGCCGCCATGACCCTTTATGAGCCCGCATGGTCCCTAACGGACCCCCACGACCCCATGATTTTCCATGACTCTCCATGGCCCCCATGACCCCCCATGGCCCCCAGTGGTCCCCCAGGGAGCCCCAAAACCCCACATACCTTCCATCTCCCCGCAAGGGACTTCAACCCTGCTGACGTGATTGTTCTCATGAAGATCAAGAAACTTATAGGTCACTTCCTTTAAAAAAAATGAGGAAGTATATACTTATGTTTAATCTCCATGAAACTTCAGTATGGTGGATGCCTGGGGACCCCCTTCTTAGAGCCCCTGAAGGTTTCAGTGCTGTTTGGAGCAGAGCATGGCTTCTGGCAACACAGGAGCTTTTAGAAATATTGTGGTTTCCATAGGAGATGTATTTTCATACTTCATTATTTATCATGTTTTTCTGAATCTGGTTCTTACATATTAATTTTTCCTCTAAAGTTGGATTTTTCTGTCAGTGCTGGTAAGCTTGGGGCTGGAAAACATTGTGCAGGCTTGAGTTTTATTCCTGGTGAAAGATGACTGGCATTGCTCTTTTTCTAATTCATGTTCAAAATTAAGATAAAATCTTAAACATGAAATCTTTAAACTTTGTCCGGACTGCAAATATGGGAGCATGAGCCCACAGCACCCCAATCTCCTTTTGGAGCCCAGAGGACTGCTGTGTCTGCACCACTCATGTCCACACCGCCACCCTCTGGCCCCTCTGTGGGTCCCCAGCAGTTGTCCTACCCTCCACACAAGGACTGGGTCTTCCCGAGGGCCTCAGGACGTGGAGGGGACACTGAGGTCCTTGTACAGCTGAAGCCCAGAAAGTGGCCAGGCCTGTGCCTGAGGGAGCACAGCAGCTCCCTCAGAGCTGGGAGGGCGGGAAGGGTGGTGCCTTGCCCCAGACCTGCCTCTGGCCCAGGGTGTACAGGTCTGGGGAGTGACCCTCTGGGACAGGACCCAAGGCTGCAGGTCAGTTTGCCCGGGCACAGGGGCTCTTCCGCTGGCCCCCCACCCCCCTCCATCCCGTAGACTGAAGTCTCCTTCTGCCGCCTTTTGTAGCATGCTCTCTGTGACCACAGAAGTTTCTGGAAGTTCCCTTGTGTTGGAAATGAGCTAGGTTGTATAGTGAGTGTTCTCCTCACTGCATTTCTATTGTGGGGCTTCTCCAACTTGAGAATTAGAGAATCTTTTTGAAGTTTAAAAATATTCCCTAACAGCAAAACAAACAAATCCAGCCACAAAGAAAGAGAAAAGAAACAAGAAAATCCAGCTCTTCTTTCCAATCTTTAGTCTCTTAGAGACAAACTGGAAAAATGAGAGGTTTATGGCAGTCATCATAAATTCATAAGATTTAAAAGGCCTGTGGTCTGATATCTGCTATTTTTAGATGAAAAAGACAAGATTTGGAGCTGTTGGGGGCCCAGGGTCTCTGCTGGCGTTGGGCCAGGGCTTGGTGTTTCTTTGTCCATGGTTAGTCCTCTTGGGCTTATGGTCCCTCAAGAAGCCAGGATCTTGGTAAAGGCACAGGGCAGGGGAGACGGGAGGTGTGGGATGGGATAGGCAGGTTCTGGAAACATACATATTCGGTCACAAAGAGCAACGTCCTGGGTTTCTAGTCCCACTTCTAAGATGGGCTGTAGTGTTTAGTGTGGACATGGCAGTGTGCTAGCGGGAACTGTGGACTACTGGCCACCTGGCACTAGCTAGAGTTCAAGCATACCAAGGGTACATTTTCTCACACTTACCTATAAGTTCACGCATGCTGAAATTTGTTCTCATTGGTGGTGTGGTGTGGCCACCATCATAATGAAGACACACAGCAATTCTGTTGTGCCCAATTTTCCCCAGGGTACCCACGTGCGGCTCCCCAGCCACCACACCCGTGCTCTTCAGCCCTTGTGGCCTTCTCCAGCTGCCATGCTTAGGACGCCTGGGGTGGCTTCCTTCAACAGGGAACTCGGGCAGCAGTGACCCAGCCCCGTGGTGGCAGGGAGCACGGTTGGTTTTTGTCACTCTGTGGTGTGCTCACATCTCGGTGTACTTGTCCTCTAACTGGGGAGGGACGTTTGAGTTTCCAGGATTTGGTGTTATGAATAAAGCTGTAACACACACATGCCGGTTTCTCTGTGAACCTTGGTTTGGGTTTTGTTTGGGTAATACCCACGTGTGAGGTTGCTGGGTTTTGTGGTAAGTGTGGACGGGAGTGTCCTCACCCTCATGACCAGAGATGCTGAACACCTTCTCGTGAGCTCACCTGGCACCGAGAGAGGCCCCTTGTACGCAGTCTGTGCAGATATTTGCCCACTTAAAAAATCAGGCTGTTTGCTTCCTTACTTTTGACTTTGGACTTCTTTATGTATTCTGGACACACGATCTTTGTTGAATGTATGATTTGTAAGTAATTGCTTCTAGTCTGCCTTGTCTTTTCATTATCTTGACAGCATCTTGCAGAGAATGAATGTACCTAATTTTGACAAAGCCCAATTTATCGATTTTTTAAATAGATCATTGTATTGGTATCACATTTGAGAACACTTTATCTAGGTTGAAAAGATTTTTATTTTATGTTTGCCCCCAAAGTTCTCTAGTTTCCTGTTTTTACCTTAGGTTTATGGGTCCCTTTAAGTTAACTTTGGGCTCATGGTGTGAGGTTTGGGCTAAGGTTTGGGCTGAGATATACTTGCTTTGCATGTTAATATCCTTGTGTTTGCCCTAGCTTTATGAGTCTGTTCCTGGACTCTCTTCTGCTGTTGACTGTGTGCATGAACTTTCACAAAGAGGCACCAGCCTGCCTTGGTCACAGCCTTGGTCACAACATGTCTTGAAATTGGGTAGTGTGACTTTTCCAATTTGTGTTCTTTTTTAGGAATTGTTTTGGCTTTTCTAGGTTTCTCTGTTTTTCCATATAAATTTTAGAGTTAGCTTGTTGCTACCTACAAAAGTTACTGCCAGGATTTGGACTGGGATTGTGTTAAATCAGTAGGTCAGGTTGGGAAGAACCGACACCTACCAGTGCTCACCCTAGCGCGCGGGCGCACCATTCGGTCTCTTGCTGCTTTCCTCCCTGTCTGTCTGTGTGGCATCGAGATCCTGCACATCTTGTCAGGGTTAGATCTAAGTGTTTTCTGTCTCCATTGCTATTATACCAGAACTTTTCTTAATTTCAATTTCATTATTATGTGGAAACACTATATTCCAATATTATATAGAAATCCTTTACTCTCT